GAAAACGATGCCCAATTTGTCAGATTTCTATCCTGTGCCAGTTTTCATCCAGTTTAATGCGTGAACTCTATGGATTTTATAAATGACGTCTTCTGGATCATGTTATCTGTTTACACTGATCTTAAGTGTATGTAAAGGTTATTTGACTAGATGTGTCTTTTAGGTTTTTTGTTTGTTTTTTTTTTTTTTTTTCAGCAGAGCTTAAATGGTCATCTCAACATTTGTTTGGTAAAAGAAGCAAATTGATATGAAATTGTATATTTATGCATGTTTTTTTTCCCTTTCTGATATCTCTGCCTCTTCCTCTCTCTATTATTAAAGGAAGAAATACCCCTGGAAAGCCAATGAGAGAGGTTAGTGAGATTCAGGCTCACGGCCATGGCTTCTGTCTGTCTCATCCTGCTTTTTATGTTTGGCGTTTGTGTAAGAATTGTGTGTGTGCACGCGCATGTGTGTATTACACATTGTGTCATCATGTAAGGATGGTAGTCACCTCTCCACTTGCAGCTCATGAGGAACATTCCTCAAATGTTCATTGCCGTTGTCATCACCATGACGACAAGACTGGGGTTGGGGGAGCAAGAATCTCTTTAAAATGGCAATCCTTTGTAGTCCCTAGGTTGGAATCCTGCAGTTCATCATCTGTTGCCATTTGCAACACAAACAAAATCTTCGAACTAAATTTAGCCTTGAACATAACTGATGAGTCATAAAGCTTTCTTCCACTTCCAGGACCTTAGCATTTTCTGCCAGCGCCCTTAGTTTTTATTCTTCTGGGATGACTTCATTTTGCTTTTGTTTCCTTTTTTCTTGGTTCCTACGCTCTTTCTTTCCCATTTTAGCGAACATTTTTTGAGCACTTACTGTGTGCCAAGCATTGTTCTCAGCACTTGCCATCTTTTTCATCATGTCATCTTCATGACAAACCTGTGAGGTAGGTACTCTTATTAACCCCATTTTACAGATAAGGAGACTGAGTCAATGAGAGAGTAAGCAGTGTGTCCCAGGTGACAGAGCCAGGATTTGGATCCAGGCAGTCTGGCTCCAGACCCACACTCTTAACTCTCATGTGAAAGGCTTACATCATCTCAACGTACCCTTCAGAAGATGATCTTTTTTATTTGGTATTTGAAGCCACACAGAACAATAACCAGTTCGATTAAAAAACTAAATATTGGAGTCTTGAGAGTTTTTTTAAATGCCTATTTATGGGTTGAAAGGGATAGGGTGCAGTCTTATCACTGAATGTGGTTTGAGGTTTTACAGTGAAAGATGCTTCTTACTCCTATTCCACCAGGAATATTGTCTGAATATCAAATTACCTAATTAAGTGACTGTTGGGTGACAAAAAATGTTAACTGACAGCCCAAGTAAAAACAAGGTTGTCTTTACCAAGAATTTAATCTGCAGGAGGAGAGAAGGAAAGCTCTCCCATGGGATGGCAGTGTTCTGGGAGACAGGCTGGATGGGTGGAGAGTCCTTCTTATATGAGAAGATTCTGGACTCCTTAGCAATAGGATGGACTAGAGTGACCACTGATTCATTTAAACACAGGAATCATAATGAAAACTGTGCCAACATCGTGCCATACAAGTCTAATCAATTTAATGATCCTTCAGTGTGTCTGTGCCAGTGCCTCCTTCCAAGGCTTTGGGCAGTGGGGCCAGGGAGGGAATGGTAGGCTGGGAGGAGAAATTGAGGAAACCTGACTTGGTGAAGCATTGAATGCTCCTGACGGTTTGCCTGGTTCATGTACTTCGTATGTGAGACTTCTTGGGTTCATTCTTATGGTAAGTGCCCCTTAAAATTTATTCATTTTAACTTTTTGTAGAAAAATGCACCATAATTTTGACCATTTTAAACATGTTTCATTCACAAATGAATTTTAGAAAAGGCTAGCATGTGTAATTGAAGTGATATAGGCATTTGCAGACTTGACTACCTGAGGTGTATGGTGTTCAGACAAGTTTCCAGAAGCCAAAGAATCAAAACAATAATGACCTTTTTTAATGCTATGAAAATATCCCAAATGTACGGTAGACCAGATTTTTTTCAGAGATTAAATTATAGAGAAGAAAAGATAAGCAAATTTCACTGTAGTATTCTGGCTTTGCGTTGGCCAGTTGAATGCTAACAGTTTATCTGGGAATTGTATTTTTAAAAATTAGAGCACCAGATTGCTATTGAGGTCTTGGATCTTTGCCAGAAAGTCTCAATTCCAATCGCTGTGGAAAACAATTCCCTCAGGCACTGGTGGCGTGTGAGACTAAATGTGTTGCAGTTAGTGCCAACTTGGAAAAACATAACAACTGCTAATGTTCAAGGCATAGTGCCTTTGTGTTCAATAATCCTTGCTTAAGAATGGATTAAATTAATACTTTCTATAGACATAGTTTTCTCTCACCTTGTGCCTGAAGGTGATTGCAAAGGTCTGAATCCTGGCTGCTTTTCAGTACCTCTTATACTTCATAGTATGAGATTGTAATTTTGACTTTAGAAAAATCTGTCAGGTAAAATTAATGACCTCCCGAATGCTCTGCCTTACACACATGGATAATAGAACTAGGATACAAATCTACTTTCTATATTCATGTCACAGTGCAGTCTTACCCCTCCAATGGATTAAAGTATGATTCTTTGGGGGCAGTAGTTTGTAAAAGAGATTGACTTCTTTTTTCTGGATCTAATGAAAAACTCCATGGAAAAAACTTAGAATTATTATTCTGGTAAAGCAGGTATTTAGTGAAGTAACCAAAGGCATAATATAGATGATGAGGTGACTCTAAAAGTTATTTTTATAGCACAAAGATGGCCACAAGGTCATTTGTGAAAATGCAGCAGTTTAAACCAGTTAAAGGCCACCCAACTTTTTGTGGGAGTGTGCATGGCTCATTAAGAATAATGAACCTCTGTTTTCCCTGGCAGATTTTTAAATAGCAGATACCCCTAGAACTTATGCTTCTTGAGAGACTCAAGAATTTTCCTTCCAGGTAGTAACTGAACAGCATTTCAAGGAAGAGAAGTACCACTTGGCTATATAATCTATAAATGCATTTACTTGTTTTATTATATTTTGAACTGCCATCTACATCTCCTAGCACACAGCCTAAAAAGACACATTTTGCTTATCGATAAGCTGACAGGAAAAAAATAAGTTTTCCCCCCTTTTTTGTTGATATTTTGTAATATGTTTTCTAGCTACTGTGGGTCATGAGAAATACTTCGAATTACATTCAGGCATCAGGTTGTAAAGGTCTTGGGCTTTGTTTTGACTGATTTTGTTAATAACTGTAAAGATTGCTAGTAATTAAAAATTCGCAGTTAGTCCATCTATTTTCAGTTTATGCATGAATAATTATGCAGATTTCCCAGGGTTGCTGGACAGTCAAAAATAGATACAGGGGAAGCCCTCCAGCTTGGTAGCAGCAGTTACATATTTGTACTCTGAGCTCTAAGGAGCAGCAGAGGCCCCACTGTGTCGTCTTCCTGTGGTTTTTATGGCACAGAAAGCCAAAAATGATTTCAGTTCTTCACTGAGGGCTGCCAAATTATTGGTCCACTTTATGAATAGTGCATATGCTTTGTTAAAAATGTTTATACTTGCAGTCTCAACCAAAATCCAAAGCGATTTTCTAAAATATAATTCTCCATGAAATTCTTTGCACTAATAAAGCACAAAAAGATATACAAACTTGGTCACCTTAATAGAAATGCCTGAATGACATTAAACTTTTAATAAGTCTTCAATTGTGGTGTCATCACTGTGTAAGTGCCTGCCCATGTAATCCTCTTCAGATCCTCCCATATTTTGTAGAGAAGATAAGATAGATATATATCTCTTGAAATAAATATTAAAACAATACTCTCCCTAGTCTATCTTTAATTTTTAATTGGGATTTTAACAATTATTATGGGAATCTGTAAAGTTGATTCATGGCAAGGTAGTAATAGCCTAGTAAAGCATTTCAGTTCCAAAGACAATACTTGAATAGTGGAAGGATTTACCAATGTGCAATAATTAAAATTAGCTATATAAAACTATGGGACATAGATGAAAAGGCAAGCCATAAAGTATGTCTCAGATTATCTTACTGTAAATCTGAATTTTGCTACAAAGTACCCAGGGACATTATGCTGTTCTTTTTTTCCATGCTGGGAGATTCTTATTAAAAGGCTATTGTGATAGTTAACCCTTATTTAGGAGGAGATCTAAGATGGATTCACAGAATACCCAAATGCATACAATATATGTTGGTCACCTTATAATTAGGTTCTAGAGTAATTTGGAATGGGAAGTAATTTTTATTCTGAGGTGTCCTAATTCAAATGTTAATAGTGCACCAAAAGGTCAATTCAAGAGTTTATTTTTCAACCCAAGTAAAAGCAGAGAGAAAATAGCCACCTCCACCATAGCCTCAGAAGCAAGCCAACAGCCTGAAACAGCTTTGAAATGAAAATTTCAGCTTTGAAAGGAAAATTTCAGCTCTGAAATGAAATGAAAATTTCGTGTGATGGGGGTGATATTGGAGGTAATGGTGTGGTAGTTGTGAGGGTGACAGAGGTGGTGATGGTGGTTTGATAGTAAAAAACATTAGTACAAGTAGAGAGAGAGTAAGTAATCACTCATAGTCAAGGTGGAAAAGATGTATCCCATCACGGAATAGTCCTGTTCTGAAATCTTGTGCTTATCTGTGGAATTCTTTTGATATATATTTACATTGGGAACATGAGTGTAGCTTGACATTTTTCCATTTAAACACCAGTAGCCTGCTCCAACATTAAGCTGATACTAACAAACAACGTGTAATGGCTTCATTAACAAGGCTTTGCTTCTTCCTGGAAACTGGTGAAAATCAAACCTTGTTGTGTATACCCTCGATGCAGCTTCTCTGTGTTGTCTTCACCCAGAAATGGGGAATGATTTCCCAAATGGCAAAGAAACAGAGTGATGCTATCTGCACCTGTTGTAAAGTCTGTCTGTCTTTCTCTCTGTTTTCCAGGACACAATGTAGGAAGTCTTTTCCACATGGCAGATGATTTGGGCAGAGCGATGGAGTCCTTAGTATCAGTCATGACAGATGAAGAAGGAGCAGAATAAATGTTTTACAACTCCTGATTCCCGCATGGTTTTTATAATATTCATACAACAAAGAGGATTAGACAGTAAGAGTTTACAAGAAATAAATCTATATTTTTGTGAAGGGTAGTGGTACTATACTGTAGATTTCAGTAGTTTCTAAGTCTGTTATTGTTTTGTTAACAATGGCAGGTTTTACACGTCTATGCAATTGTACAAAAAAGTTATAAGAAAACTACATGTAAAATCTTGATAGCTAAATAACTTGCCATTTCTTTATATGGAACGCATTTTGGGTTGTTTAAAAATTTATAACAGTTATAAAGAAAGATTGTAAACTAAAGTGTGCTTTATAAAAAAAAGTTGTTTATAAAAACCCCTAAAAACAAACACACACACATACATACACACACACACACACACACAACTTTGAGGCAGCGCATTGTTTTGCATCCTTTGGTGTGATATCCATATGAAATTCATGGCTTTTTCTTTGTTTGCATATTAAAGATAGATAGGACTTCCTCTAACACCACCAAATGACTACTTCACACTGCTCATTTGAGAATTGTCAACTGAGTGGGGCGGGCTGTGAGTTTTCATTTTATATATCTATATGTCTATAAGTATATAAATACTATAGTTATATAGATAAATAGATATGAATTTCTATAGACTTTTTCCATTTTTTAAATGTTCGTGTCACTTCTTCCTAATAGAAAGAAATTACTTCTAGTCATCCAGGCTTACCTGCTTGGTCTAGAATGGATTTTTCCCTGGAGCCGGAAGCCAGGAGGAAACTACCACACTAAAACATTGTCTACAGCTCCAGATGTTCCTCATTTTAAACTCTCCACTGACAACTAGAGTACTGAATTTTTTTAAAGGGAACATGTGAATGAATACACAGGACTTATTATATCAGAGTAATCGGTTGGTTGATTGATTGATATATTCGGCTTCCTGCTGCTGGCAATGCCACGATTTAGATTTAATGATGCTTCAGTGGAAATCAGAAGGTATTCTGATCTTCTGAGCATCCAAAGGTATTTTTCACTCCCAAGCAGTAGCAGGATGATGACAGGGCTGGAGGGCTATGGATTCCCAGCCCATCCTTGTGAAGGCGTAGGCCACTCTTTAACTGAAGGACTGGATGATTGTTCATAATACATAAAGTTCTCTGTAATTAATTACAACTAAATTATTATGCCCTCTTCTCACAGTCAAAAGGAAGTGGGTGGTTTTGTTTTTGTTGCTGTTTTTTTAGCTCTATTTTCCCATGCCGGATGAGTTTTTAAATGCCACAAGACAATTTAAAATAAACTTTGGGAAAAGGTGTAAGACAGTAGCCCCATTACATTTGTGATACTGACAAGTATCAACCTAGAAGCCCATGAACTGTGTTTCCCTCCTTTGCATTTCTCTGCGAGTAATTCCACACAGGTTTGTAAGTAAGAAAGAAGGCAAATTGATTCAAATGTTACAAAAGTAAAAGCTACTCCAAACCCTTCTTGGGGGATTAGACAGGTTAAATATATAAACAAACAAACAAACAAACACTGCTCAAAAATTGGAGAAAAGCTCAAGAGGAAAAGCTAAGGACTGGTAGGAAAAAGCTTTACTCTTTCATGCCATTTTATTCCTCTTTGATTTTTAAATCATTCATTCAATAGACATCACCGTGTGACCTATAATTTTGCAAATCTGTTACCTCTGACATCAAGTGTAATTAGCTTTTGGAGAGTGGGTTTTGTCCATTATTTTATTAATAATAATTAACATCAAACACAGCTTCTCATGCTATTTCTACCTCACTTTGGTTTTGGGGTGTTCCTGATAATCGTGCACACCTGAGTTCACAGCTTCACCACTTGTCTATTGCGTGATTTTCTTTTTCCTTTATAATTTTCAAAAGAAAACCCAAAGCTCCAAGGTAACATATTACATGAAGATTTGGTTTTTGTCTTGCCATTTTTTCCTTTATGTGACGCTGGACCTTTTCTTTACCCAAGGACTTCTAAAACAAACTAAGATTTAAAACAAGGGGTTACTTTACATCCTACTAAGAAGTTTAAGTTTCATTCTAAAATCAGAGGTAAATAGAGTGCATAATTTTGTTTTAATCTTTTTGTTTTTTCTTTTAGACATTAGTTCTGGAGTGAGTCTGTCATAATATTTGAATAAAAATTGAGAGCTTTATTGCTGCATTTTAAGCATAATTTGGACATTATTTCGTGTTGTGTTCTTTATAACCACCAAGTATTAAACTGTAAATCATAATCAATGTAACTGAAGCATAAACATCACATGGCATGTTGTCATTGTTTTCAGGTACTGAGTTCTTACTTGAGTATCATAATATATTGTGTTTTAACACCAACACTGTAACATTTACTAATTATTTTTTTAAACTTCAGTTCTACTGCATTTTCACAACATATCAGACTTCACCAAATATATGCCTTACTATTGTATTATAGTACTGCTTTACTGTGTATCTCAATAAAGCACGCAGTTATGTTACAAAAAAGTGTTGATTGGACTACAGTACTTTGTTTTTATTTTAATTTAGTTATTTACTTTTTAAATAGGTAATACATGCATATGAGTAAAAAACTATAGAAAGACAGTGAAAAGACTCCCAACTACCCTTTCCCCCATATCATCCTCATTGCCCTGAGTAGACATTATTAATTTCTTATTTAGTCTTCCAAAGTGTCTTTATTATTATCTAAGCAATTAGAATATATGTTCCTTTTTTTTCTCCTATTATTTCACAGGATATAGCATTCTCTGTACCCAGTTATGTGCCTTACTTGTTTAAATTTAAATATGGACTCAAGAAATCTTTCTTTCATTTAAATATATAAAATGCTTTCTCATTCTTTTTTATAGCTGTATAATATTTCATTATATGTTCACAGGCTATTTATTTTATTTAAGCAGTTCCCTTTGGTGGGATATGTAGTCTGTTTTCAGTCTTTTGCTATAACAAACAATATTGCACATTTCTCATTACATCATTTCATTTGTGCACAAATATATCTGTGGGATACTTCCTAGAAGTGAGATTGCTGGGTTAAAGGGAGTAAGCATTTGTAGACTGGGAGATACATTTTGAGCAGTGATAGTCAGTTATAGTGTTTGTTGTGTTTGTTTGTTTTTTGTTTTAATAATGACAAGTATATTAAGTCAGTTTGCAATTCATACTTTGCTTCTGAAGAGAATTTCATATCACTTCTATTCTTGTTAATGTCACCAGACTTAAGAGGATGCATGAGTAGTAAAGAGGATGCATGAGTAGTAAGAGACACCTAAAACGATGTCTCAGAACTGGTTCCAGGGAAGACTCCCTAACCATAGTCAATCACCACCACAGGGAGAACCTCTCCTTTGCCCCTGCCCTGCTCTGTTTCTTGCCCTAGCTGCAAAGGAGGCTGAGAAAGTGGATAGCAATGTCAGCACTTCTTAGGGAGAGGCTATCTTTACCTATTCCCAAGGTTCATGGTTGGGAGGGGTTCCCCCAACAGTGTTCAGATACTGGTGAGCCAAAGGAATAACATAAGTCCACTAGGTGCAGCCTATCCTAGTGATTTTGGAAATAACAGGAGATGATCCATCTCATTAGAAATGATGTTAGTAGATGTGGCATCTCTGCTGTGAATCACTTGCTAATTTTTTGAGAGTAGGGTGATGATGCTCACCCAAGTGACTACCACATCGAAACACTGCCCTTGACATCCACATATACCAAGAAAAATTTTCATCCTATTTAAATAAACAAATCATTTATCCTTCCCACCATTACCCGAACCTACCTTTGTTTGAAACACCCAGACTGGCTGTTTTGGTGACACTTAAGGATGTAACTGAGGAATCTTCAACACTTCACCACGTCTAAGACAACCGTGTGTGGATGATTCTGAGGAGGGCATTTGGTTTTCCATTCCATACTTGGCACACACTAGAAGAGACAGAATTAATTCAGTTAAAAATTAAAATGGATCAAGCTGGCACAGATTATGCACCGGCAAGCAAAATGTGCATTTGGGAGAAAGCACCAAGACTAATGGATGTGTTCTGTAGAGCTGCGATGGGATTTCCCTTAATTTGTAATGCTCTAATGGTGGAATGAATACAAAGGCAGGCACTGGCACACTTGCAAAGACTTTGCCTTCAAATTAAGTGTAGGAAGGACACGAATCAAATTCTTTCCCACAGTAGCAAAGCCATTGGAGTAGGAACTATAAACATGCTCTTCAATGCCCCTTGCACGTCAGTGTACTGTGATCTCATGGACTTAACTGACAACACAAGAGTGGCAGCATGCCCAGCATTCCACAATAAACAATATTGTGTGAATGTGTAAAGTTTGGGGATGTCTGAGAGTAGCTTTTGTGTACAGAAAAGGTGATCTACAGTAACTTGAGGTTTAAATGTTATATGTACATACTTATGTGTGTATGTACATGTGTGTATTTTATATACATTCAGGATTTTAGCTCTTCCATACGTTTATTTTGAAATAATTCAAACAAGAAAAACTGGAACAAAAGAAAAATTGCAAGAACAGTACAAAGAAAGAACCCACATATACCCTTTACCCAGGTTAATGAATTGTTTACATTTTGCTTCATTTACTTTACTGTTCTCTCACTGAATAGATGATAGTTTTTTCTGAGCCATTTTAAGAATAAAGTTGTAGACATCATGCCTCCTTACATTTAAATACATCATGTACATTTCCTAATATCTACGACATTCTCTTGCATAACCATAGTACAATTATCAAAATAAATTATATATAGCTATCATCTACTCTACAGTCCATATTCAACCAAATATTGTCAATTGTGCCAATGATGTCTTTTATCATTATATATCTTTCCCTAGTCTGGCATCTAATTCATGATTTCATGACATTTAGTTGTCATATCTCTTTAATCACCTTTGATCCGGAACAGTGTCTCTGCCTTTCTCTGTCTTCAAAGACCTTGACATTTTTAACAGTACAAGACAGTTACTTTGTAGGATGTGCATCAATTTGGGTTTGTCTGATGTGTTCTCATGGTTTAGATTCAGGGTATGCATTTTTGTCAGGAATACTACACAAACAATGATGTGTCCTCAGCATGTGATACCAGGAGGCACATTCCCATTCTTGGTGCTGTTAACACTGATCATTTGGTAAAGGTGGTGTCTGCCAGCTTTCTCCACTTGGTATACATTTTAAAACTTAATTTTTCATAAATCTTTAGGTTCAACTTAGAAATTTTATTTTTAGATATATAAATGTAGACAATTTGTATGAAGTAAGAACAGTCACTTTTAGTGAGCAGACTTAGCCACGTTGAGTAGTCTGAATTTTTCTGTTCTAAGCTGTATCTATACACTTAATGTGCTTTATTTTCAAGCCTATCTAATATCTCACAGGGAAGACCAACGCCAACCAACAGCACCTCCACCATACCTAACTCACATATATCGAGACAAATTAAACATATAAATATAGCGAATCTCAACTCCTCTGAAACATTCCAATAGCATATACTGTATAAGTCCAACTTTTTAAATTCATTTTGAAATCACATGTGTAAAAATACACATTTTACATTGGAACCTAAGACTTATCTCCCCAATTTGCTAATATGTCAAATTGCCACAAACATCTTAAGCACTTTAAACAAACACAGATTATGCCTAAATTCAACATAAAAGTATTAAAACCAAGGGTTAGGTTTACTCCACCATCTCTTTGTTTCATTTTAAAACTTCCTAGGCTTTCAAGACTTATTTGATAAGGTGTGTATTAAAATGTGACCCAGGAGTGCTAAAGTCTTTGAATCTCATAGTTTTGAGGGTGGCCACATGTAGTCTGTAGCCTTCAGCCTCCTGCGGTTATTCAAGGATGCCCTTCAATTGATAATAAATTTATTTGTGTGCCACAATGTGAAAACATTTGGGAAACTCTGCACTAAGAGAATACTTTTATCATCATAACAAGAGTTGAGGTTACTGGCTCAACAATTCCTATCCATACTAAAATTAAGCATCCTGGGCATATTGACAATTTTTATTAGCCAAACATTTGTGGACTGGACTGAGTAACTCTTTTGATGCCACAGAAGGATAATCACTCAATCCCTTTTTAAAGTCAGTAAGACAACTGGGGGACTCCAAGCCTGTACTTTCCAGATATGATTGATTTCACACCCTGTTTTCCTGGGTTCGATTTCCCCCTTTATACCTGTGTGAGTAGCTGCAAGCCCCTATACCAGGACTCCCCTAAGTCCTAGTTTGCCTGCTTCATTCATGGCTACATTCATGTCTTGACATGGCTTCATTCATGTCTGTTGTCTTGACATCATTATTAATAGCACCCTTTCACTCTCAATGCCCTGGTTAGTAGGTACTTAACATCTTTCAAACACACTGTTTCTCAATAGAAGTGTTGTTGGTATTTGGGTTGGGACAATTCTTCATTATGCACAACTGTCCCTCACTTTGTAGTTCTCCCAGTCATTGTGATGACAAACCTGCCTCAATACATTTCCAAATGCCTCCTAGGGAAGCAGTAGAAAATTGCTGATTCTCTTTACTGCCTGAATACAGGCTGTGTTCTTTTCATACTCTCCCTAACTGGCAAGCTCCAGCTCTTAGAGATATTTTAATGGCATTAGTTCTCGCATACTTTTCCTATTTCGTCCAGCCCTCCAGTCATTTCTCTAAAGTAATTTAATGATACTGCCCTAGCTGAAAACATTGACCATCATATAAAAGCCAGCAAATAAAGAAGTATTTTTCGACAGTAGAGAAAGAAGCTATCCCCATTCATTTGCATTCATTTAAATATAACATCTGGACTCTTGGTGTTTTGAGCTTGTAGATACACCCCAGCCACATCCCCTCTTGTCTTCAGAGACAGTGCATCCATACCCTTGCTTCTGGGAATATCAGCTGCTGATGGCTCACAGCTGTGTCCCTCTCAGGACACCGAACTGTCAGGACAGAGAACTGTCTTGCCCAAGGTAACACCACCTGTCACAGGGAAATCGCCTGGGCCAATACTGGCTGATGTAGAAAAACAAAAACCCAGTCCCCTTGCCTCAATTTGGGACAATTCTGAAGGGCCATCCCAGCTCTGGAGCACCGCCTGGAATCCACCAAGGCCTTAGTTGTAATCACTTCATAGTTCAGCTTCTCCTCTGCCCTTCCTGCCTTCTCACTTTCTTCAGGTGTCTCTGTTATAAGCACCCCGCCCCCAGTAAACCTTCTGCAGAGAATACTCCATCTCAAAGGCTGCTTTGAGGGAATCCAGTCTAAAACATTGCTGTTTGTTTCACTGAGAAAGAGTTGTGAAACAAAAAAGTAACCTAAGCCATTCTACCTCTCTCTCCATCCTGCTGCTTACTACAGCCAGACTGCCCCTTCCAACTGCTTGGAACTGCGAGCCTAGCCTTCTTCACTCACTGCTGCATTGTTTTTAAAATAAAACAAAAAAAAAGATATACAAATATTTTACATCTTTATGGGGC